GATGTTTTAACATGCGGTTACATTTTCATGATGTCATCGATCTAGTAATATTTTACACTTGTCAAATCAGTTTTTTTGGGGGGGGTCAAAGTATACAGTAAATTAGAAATGGAGGATGATCTATTTAAACTTGTATTAAAAATAAACTTCAGGGGCCCCTGGTTGGCTCAGTCAGAAACAGCATGCAACCCCTGACCTCAGGGTTGTGAGTTTGAGCCCCACATTGGGTGTAGGGATTAAATAAATAAAACTTGAAAAAAAAATAACCTTTAAATATAATCTTTAACATACTGATCCAAAGGAAATTAACCGGGGTGCCTGGGTGGCTCAGTGGGTTAAAGCCTCTGCCTTCAGCTCAGGTCATGATCTCAGGGTCCTGGGATCGAGCCCCACATTGGGCTCTCTGCTCAGCGGGGAGCCTGCTTTCCGCCTCCCCTCTCTCTGCCTGCCTCTCTGCCTACTTGTGATCTCTGTTTGTCAAATAAATAAATAAAATCTTTAAAAAAAAAAAAAAAGAAAGAAATTAACCCAGACCCAGTTAACATACACAAATTCCCATGGAGGTTGTTAAGAATCTGTTCAGAAGGGGAGCTGTCAGCCCAGGTGGTGGGGGAAGGAAGGGAAGGGATAAACACAGGTCAGTTCTCCTGGCAACACAACCCTGAACCTTGAAGGCCTTCACATTCCTAAATGTACCAAACATGACTTCTACATACCAAGTCCTATGTACGTCTGCTTAAGAGGCAAGTGCCTCTATCATGCCATCCACACCAGATCAGAGGTCACCGTGGGCTCACATATATAATCAGACCAAGATCAACGAGCAGAAGTCAAAGTCAGACAAAACCAAAGACGACTGTGCAGAAATGAATGAATTAAGTCCCACACTCAGAAAAGGAAGGACAGCAAAGGCCATCTGCTTGAACAGGAATGTTCTAGTTTTCCACAATTTTCACAGTATGACACCTATAGGGAGGGAGCTACTGTCTCTCGAGGACTTCATATTATTTTGTTATAATATCATGCTTGTCAAAACACCTGATAAATACATGGGCCAAAATGGATCTCTAATGAAATATATGTGGCCTTATCTCAACATGATAGGATTGGGCAGGCCTGTTAAGCGGACTGAAATTGAAAGCATCTGCTAAAACCTAAGATAAAACTAGACTCAGAGTGGTCTTGACAAATTGAAACAGCATCTATCAAATTAAATAAGAGAAGGCAAGTTAGTGTAATTTTAATTTGTTCTTAAGTACATCAGGAAAAGGAGAATATAAACCTAGGGCAAATAAAACAGAAAAAGATCTTGTAGTCATAGTGGAACATCAGTCAGCTCAAAAAGGCAAAGCAGCATTTTTTTTTTTTAACCATTTTAAAATCAAGGCATCCCTGGGCTATATACCACCTGAGCGTGTGTCACTAAAGCCAAGTCATCCTTTATTGTGAGGGTAAGGGGATGGTACTGTCTCTCTCTTCTCCCTTCCCATCTCACTGGGTGGCTTGTGGGAGTAAAACAGATGTGCGAGTGTACTGAGAAATTAAATTCAATATACAAAGCTAGCATTCTATTCTAAAACGGGGATGTTACATAAACAGAACAGAATCGAGGGAAGAGAAAGTTCAGTATTTTTAAAGGGCCTGGCATCATGTGAGTACAATGTAAAGAAATAATCGTAAAGCTACAGTACAGAGATTTATCTAAGATTTGTCATGGAACAAATACAATGTTATATGTCAATTACATCTCAAATGAAAAGAAAAAAAGACTGGTCAACTGTTTGGGTTCTAAAACATGTTATTAAAAGAGATGGCGGTGTGTGAGCCCTGGGGGGCTACCAGAGAACCCAAATATCTAGTTCAGAGCCTCTACTATATAGGAGCAGCCTAAGCACAAAATCACCTGCTTTTTTTTTTTTTTGGACAGAGAGAGAGACCACAAGTAGGCAGAGAGGCAGGCAGAGAGGGAGGAGAAGCAGGCTCCCTGCCAAGCAGAGAGCCCGATGTGGGACTCGATCCCCGGACCCTGAGATCATGAGCTGAGCGGAAGGCAGAGGCTTAACCCACTGAGCCACCCAGGTGCCAAAAAAATACCTGCTTTTGTATCTTTAACCTTTAAATGAAGTGTCCCAACTTTTTATCCCTTAAAACATGTAATTTGAAGTACTTTTGAAGTGGCAGAGGCTGGAATTAATATTTTAAAAAACAAAAAACACCTTCAATATTCTCTACCTAAATTGCTTCATGTCATCTTAACCACCCAGCTGACAATGCGGGGGGGGGAGGGGATGGGCAAGAGAGAATGATTTATTCATATTCAGTATATCTGGTCTAATTATAACACGCCAGATTTTACTTTGGGATCAAAGCTGACAAGTAGTAAGCTGAACTGCCACTTTCTGAGGACACAGATTCCTGATGAGTAATTTTAAAAGGCAGGCCTGTGGGTCACCAACCTTTCTGGGACAGAGGGGCCACCTGTGGTTAGGATGGTCACAGCATTCTCAGGTGCCCCTACTTTCTATCAACTAGATCTAGACTGAGACACAGGATTTAAGGATCTGGTGGGCAGGAGGAGTCAGCCTGCTGATCACCAGTTACCAATTACTGCTACAGAATGTTCAAGCGTTTACACACAGAAGTTACTCTGAGAGATATTAATAATATTCTCTGTTGAAATAAAGAAAACACTGGCAGATGGGCAGGGACACACACCTAAAATAACAAATAAACAAAACAAACCACTAAATATGGCAGGCAGGCCACCAACTAGGGCGAGACGATGACTGATGGATTAGGGAGTACCCAGAACTATTTAAAGAATTCTGTACTTTAGGGTCTTAAATGTCATGTCCCTTTAAGACTTTTGCATTATGAAATGTCACCGTGTCTAAGAAGCCAATCTACTTCAAACCTGGGGATTGGGAGTGACTATGGGGATGGAGAGGGAAGGAGGGAGGGAAAAAAACTCACGTGGTGGGGGAGGGTCTTGGAGAGAAAGCAAGCTCCTCATGTGACTGAATTAGAATGTTCTAATATAAAAAGCATATAAACTTCATATTAAATAACATTTTTTACTATAGTTTATAGCTTTGACTTCCCTTTTATCAGACATTGTGGTAAATTCTGGCAACAATGCAATGATAAAATAGAGTGCTTCTGGTGAAGTGTAGGGGGCGAGCAAAAGAATAGTATAAAGTACCCCAAAATACTATGGATCCTGGCTGATATGGACCCTTCTTCACTATGACTGAAAATCATCAGTGTATTTGTCAAGTATGGTAAATTTTAAATATGAATTAACACAAAAATCTCATGTCACTAAGCATCATAGACTGAACGTCCATTTCCACATCTTTTCCCTTCCCACAAAGATAAAGGGATGAACTTATACAGCAACTTCATGAGAACACCAAGAACGAGAAAGGGAACACACACGAGAGATGTCCCCATTTCCGGACGCTGGAAATCAGACAAGGAGGGCACGACCCAGCAGTCTGAAAGGCAGGGAGAGGAACGAGCGAGCGCAGCGGAGGGGCCACTAGAACACCAGCCACTGAGGGGCACAGAGACGGGGAAGCAGGCGTCTCAGAAAGTGGGGCCAGAAACCAGGTCGTTGGCTCAAAATTTTAAGAGGAGTTAGGTCCCTAACCCAGCCCAATTCAAGCAGGTCCCCGCAACAGAGATGTTCAGAGGAGAAAGATGTTTTGAGAGTATTAGAAACGAAGATAAATAAATAAAAAGTTAGATGGTACAGCTGGAGAGAGCGTGGAGAAATGAGAACAAAAAGGCAGAGAGAGAGAGAGAGAGAGAGAGAGAGAGAACCCAGGAGAGAAAAGGTAAAGCCAGAGGATCAATCCAGGAGGTACCTAATTTGCAGGATTCCAGAAAGAACCAAGAAAACAGATGGGAGGAAATTATCCAAGAAACAACACACGACAAACTTCCCCAAGTGGGACACAGGAGTTTACAGATCGCAAGATCTCCCAGTGGGGGCAGCACAGAGAATGAAAAGACCCACCCCAAGGGAAACCGAGAAGATCCTCAAACGCTCCAGAGGAGAAAGGCAGTCCACACGCTCACACCAAGGACTGAAAACCACCAACGGCCCCCGTCCCCGCGACTGCAGCACCAGAAGCTCAAGGCCAAGTCGGGAGCCAGGACTCTAAGACAGGGAGAGAAAATGATTTCAAATCTAGAATTCCATACCCAACCCTCAAGCAAACATGAGGATGGGACGGAGACATATTCTCACCCAAGACAAGTCTCCAAGTATTTTTCCTCCCACGCACCCATCTCGGAAAACTCCCCAGGGACAATGCGTGGCATTAAATGAGGGCGCAGACTAAGAAAGGCAAAGACGGGCAAAGACTAAGGCATTCGCTGGAAGAAAGAAGGGAGTGACAATGACGATGAACACCCCAGGATAACAGTTACGAAACCGACCTAAAGAATGAACATCCTGTTGTCAAGTTTGGATTAGAGCGATGTGGTCCAGGAGAAGCCTAAGGTGAATGAGTAATTCCAGAGAAGGGAAGAGTTTGAGAGAAAAGGAAAGAGAATCACAGCGTACTCTGTTAAGTATTACAGAGGCAGATGTTGAAAAACGGGAGAAAAGGACCAATAAATAAAACAACTAGCAGCAAAAGCTTATGGTGCAGAAACAGAAGAAGGCGGCAGAGCACTGCGCGGGCGGGATCGAGGCGGGTTGGGGGTGGGGGGGACGACGCTCGCTCTGTCGCGCCGGACTGCCCCCGCAGGACTCTGCCACTTAGGGTCCGCACTACCCAACCCATAAAAACAAAAGGTAAACAAATCTTCCAAATCACTTCATTTTCCGCCCCTTCTGTGGGCTTAGGGGCTCCAACCTGGGGGAACGACCGGCCGGATCGGCGGGGCTGGGGCAAGTGCAGGAGTGAAAGAGGGGAGCAGAAGGAGGGAAGAGGCAGGGCGAGACCCCGCCCCCCGGATTTGGGGGTGGGAGGGGAGGGCACACTCACCATCTCTCTGGCTATTTCCAGCGCCTCCTGCAGGCCGTAGAGCCGGCCGCAGACCAGGTAGATTCCATTGGCCCAGAGAATACAACCCTCGTGGACCCAAAATTCATTGCTGTCAAGAGGTAGTTCAGGAATTTGTAACTCCAGCTCGGGGCCCCCTTCCGAAGTGGTGGGCACAGAGGGCTTCGAGTCCAAAGCAGTCTTGTCGCTGCTGCCCTCGGCGGTGGCCTTCTTACAGGGGAGCCCCCGGGCCAGGGAGCGAGGGCCGCCTCCGCTGCCGCCGCAGTCTTCTGAGCGGTGTCGCCGCTTGAACCTGGGGTGCGCGGCCAGGCTCCTCTGCTCTTTCTGCTGCTGCTCCTCCTCCTCCTCAGTGTCCGTCTTGGAGCCGTTCGAAGCGCTTTTGTGCCGCACTTTGACTCTGCTCTGCGTCTCCGCGGCCCGCTTCGGGGGCGGGTTCTTCGGGAGAGTGGCGGCATAATCTTGCGGGTAAAAGGGTCCAAAGAGGTCGCCCATGTTGCGGTAACTGGCCCACTTGCCACACAGACAGCACACCAGGTGCCCCACGACAGAAGACTCGGTCACCACGGGGCCCTGCAGCATGAAGGACGAGGCCGGCAGTGCCTTGCTCTCCGTGCTGCTGGGCGGCGGCGTCCGCGACCTCTGGCCCCTCCGGCCCCTCACCAGTTTGGTTTGCTCCTCCTCCTCCGCATTGATGATTGTACACACGGCCCCAAGGTCACGCTTACTCACTACATGGATGTAAGGGAAAAAAGACTTGTTCCTGGCATCGGTTTTATCCAGTGGCTGGGTGGCATACTTTAGTTTGATCTCGGGTTCCTGGGGCTCCACGATGGGAACCGCTTGTTTGGTTTTCCGCTTCCTCGGCTGCGTCCCAGGCTTCCTCCTCTCCCGCCTTTGCCTCTGCTTTTTTGGCTTTGGCTCTCCATCCGCAGAAGCTTCTGGTATCTGAGGGGGCTGCGGGGGCGGAGGTGGTGGCTGCTGTTTCTTTTGCTTGTTCACACTACCGATGGGTCTCCCCTTCTTCTTTCCTGATGGGAAGTACCCCTTCGGGGGGAAACCCTCTTGTTTGGGGGAAATCGTCACTGTATCGTTCTCTTTCTCCTCAGCCTTGGGGTTTGCCTCAGGGGCCGACACACCCACTGGAGGTACATTCTTTGAGTCCGAGAAGATTAAGGGTGCAGTCCCACCAAGGGAACCATCTGGTCTCCCCTGGTTACCCCCAGGCTTCTGTGAGGTCACGGATGTCATGGCGCCAGGGGGGTCCTTTCCAGCAGTGACCGTCTCTGGGTGCGTCTCAGTCTTCACTTTGTCATCCCCACCGCCACGCCACTCCTCTGAAGCCCTTGGCAGGGGCTTTTCGATGTTCAGGTCCTGGCTCGTTGGACAGACCAGGTCAGACACCAGTTCACCTTTTCTCTTCTCCATCTCGGCATCCTGAACAGCAACGCTGCCACCTTCGGGAGGGCCACTCTTCAAAGACAGAATGTCATCGAGAGTGACTGTGTCTCCCCCGGCCTCCGCGCTGTTCGAGGACGCGCTCCTCCTGATGTTTGGGGACGTGATCTTCTGAACTATAGCTTCCAATTTCAAGCCCCGGCCTTTCCGAGGGGGCAGTATTTTGGTCTTAGCAGGACTTGTGAGGGTAACCGCGGGGCAGTTTCTGCTATCTGGACTTGGAAGGTCCTTGGAAGATTCTCTCTTCGGGATGGATCTGACATCCTGGCTGTGAGAGAGATGCGCATAGGAATTGAACGCTCGGTCGGCGCCTTCTTTCGGTGGGTGAAGGAGGCGCCCTTTATCTTCCGTGTTACTGTTTTTCACATCCTGTGACTGCCTCTTGCTGGGAATGGGAGAGATAAAGGAGCGCACCCGCCTCCGCATGATTAAGGGGTTTTGAGAAGAATGATCCTCTTGGCCCGGGAGCCTGAGCATAACATTACTGGGTTTGGACGACTGCGGCGTGTCGGCGAGCCCGTGTCCGTCGGCCTCGTGGGGTGGCCCGTACCTCTTCTGATTGGACATTCCTGGAGGACCGCTGCTTTTGGCTGGAGAAGTCTGCCGGGAAAGATCCCAACAAGATTCTTGTTGTAACTTCTGGGAGCCATGCTTCAACTCGATGCCTTTGTTAGACAGACCATCGGCAGACATGAGGCAGCGCCCCCCTTCCTGACCGCTGGGGTCATGGTAAGTCCCCATCGGTGGGCCATACATCATACCATCTTTGTCGTTTTTCAGAGGGCTCCGCACTCTGTCAAGAAACTGCTGCTGCCTCGGGCTCTTCCGTGGTCCCTCCTGCCTGTGCTGCGCGGCAGCGATCACTCCCTGAGCAGAGCTGCTGCTCCAGTCTTTGTACTCGTCTTGCTGCTGTTGGTACATCTGTCTCTTATAATGGAGCTGAGAATTCAAACCTGCGTTGGGGTCCCCATAAGCATGAGCCCGAGTGTTGGCGTGGTAAGCAGAGGCCAGGCTTTCTGAGTTGGGAGAGAAGGGAGCGTGTAAAGAACTCCGGTTGGCCCGCTCCGAAAAGGTCATGTGTGGGTTCATGTGATGAGGGTCTCCCCCTGGGCCTCTGCTCCTCCCAGGAGACATCTTCAGTTTTTCTGAGAAGTCATGATACTGCGAAGGGGACCGACCCCTCATGCCCTCCCGGCCACCGACTCTGCCAGGAACCCGCCGCATCGGCGTGGGTCTGCTGTCTTGGGGGCCGTAGTCTGAGATGGAATCGTGAGCTGCTCCAGGACTGGCGTTGCCTCGGTAAGACTCATGCTTGATGCTGGCAGGGTGGCAGTGGTCTCCGGATTTCTTGTTGTTGAAGCTAGCTTGAGATTTGGACTGTTCAAAGTCTTCCTCTTTTATCTGCCCGCTCTGGGATTTCAGCTTCGCTTCCATGGATACCAACCCACCGGGAAGAATGACCGACTGACTTAAACTTGGATTGAGCCGATCACTCCTCCCAAGTCTGGTGTCGGTACCCATGTGTCCCAGTGAGTGCGCCCCCGGGTCCCTGACAATCTGTCTTAGTGGAGAAATGTCACAGATCACGGATCTTCTTTCAGAGAGGGAACCCCCGGGCTCATGGGCCGATGACTGCGGCTCTATTTCAAACTTTCTGGGAATCGGATAGTCAGCCAAATTGATCTGTTTCATTTCGGGAGCCGTGCCGCTTGACTTCCTCTCCCAAGGGCCCCAGTGCGGGTTTTCTAATAGGGACCCGATGCTCTTATTCAAGAGGCCCCTGCTAGCTAACTCATTGGTTTGACTGACTAAGACATTAGGCCTCGTGGCTGCTTCCAGGCCCCCCGCCATGCCCTGATGCTCCTGCGTGCTCCTGGAGTACCTCCTGTCCGGGTGGTGATGGTAGCCCTGAAGCACTTCCTGTAGCAGGCTGGGGAACTTCTCGTTCCTCCCCTTGCGCTCCCCGTGGCCAGCGAAGTCCCCCTTATCTTGTCCTGTAGGGTACTGAGGAAAGCTACTGACGTTTCTCGGCGCGGCTGACCCGAAACCGTCTTTGTAACTATAGCGCAGGCTGCCAGGAGATTTGCCGGCCTCGCTCCTGCCTGTAAAACCGGGGCCCACCGCCGAGTGCCCGCCCTGGCCGTTTCCCTCTCCATTGTGGTTGGAGTTATTATCTACATTCTTGTTTCCTTTGCTCCCTCCCCCCGGGGGCTCTGGCTGCGGGACCGACGGGTGACTGGTCTCCTTTGGCCCTCCAGCGCTGGGTGGCCTCTGCGTGGCTGTGGGATCCTCCTCCTGGGAGCCTTTATCTTGTGCACCAGGTTTTTCGACCCGGCCTGTCATGGCTTCCCGGGAGACAATCACCCCAACCGTCTTCTCGTTGACTTTGGGGTTGCCCTCGGACGACAGCGGTGTGTCCTTAGCACCCGGCGAGGCAGCCTCTTCTCTGGCTGCGGGACTGGCACTGAGTCTGGGGGCCTCGCTCTGAGCGCCCTGCGCCGGGGAAGAGCCCGCTTTCTCGGAGGTCCCGCCCTTGTAGGTGGTGTCGGAGCTGGTGCTCTGGCCACTGAGCTGCCTCACCCGCTCGCCTTGGTCCTCGGAGCTGCTCGAGCAGCCTCCGTCTAGTGACTCGGCCATGGGGGACTTGAGCTGTTCCTCAGGCTGGGAGGAGCCTTCGGAGTTTGTGCAGCTGTCCGCTTTCTTCGAAGAGGAGGAGGGCCTCTTGGAGGTCTTCTTCTGAGGTGTCAGGGCATCGGAAAGTAGCATGTGCTGAACGGTATTAGGAAGATTGGCCACTTGCGTACTCAGGGCGCTCAAACTACTCAGCCCGGGGTCTGTCAGTCGTTTTTCCGGCACTCCTTCTAGGCCAAACCCTTTGAAGCCTGCAGCGTGCGAATTAGGACTGGGCATCATGGAGGGCGTCGGGCTCAGCTGGGGCATTAGCTGTAAAATTCGGTTTCTGGAACCCATGGGCACACTGCCTTGCCCACACTGGAGGTTCTCCCCGCTCTGCATCAGGGGGGACGGGGTGGAGCTGCAGCTTGGAGACTGCACCACAGAGGCCGCGGGGGAAGGGTTGGAGATGGGGCTGAAGTTCTGGTGGAACTGCATCGGGGATCGCACCGGAACCTCGGGCTGGCTGTACTGCCCCACCTGGGCCTGCAGGGGCAGCTTGGTGGCGGTGTTCGTGTACTGCATCACGTGCTGCGGCGGCGGCTGCGGCGGCTGCGCGGGCGCCTGCCCCTGCTGCGTCCCCTGTGGAATCTTGGCCGGCTCGAAGCCCTTCACAGACTGAGGCTGATAGCTGTAGTTGGACTGCGTGCCGTATGCCTGCGCGTTAGAACCCACGCCGTGTCCCTCGTACTGGGACCCCGCATTCACGCTGTAACTGCCGTCGTAGCTCTGGCCGGACTGGCTGAAACGCTGCGGCGAAGGGAAGGAGGAGGACGAGGAGGCGGCGGAGGACTGGTAGTGCTGGCCGAACTGACCGACCCGCAGCTGGTACCCGGAAGCGGACGACGGCAGCGCGGAGGGCCGCTGCATCGGCTGCAGATGGGACGATGCGGACGCCGGCTGGCCGGTGGCCTGCGGCAGAGGCTGGTGGGACTGGTAGAGCTGCTGTCTCAGCTGCTGCACCTGCTGCTGCTGCTGCTGCTGGCTGGAGGCTTGCTGCTGGTACTGAGCGCTCCCTGGAGAGAAAGGCCCCGTGTAATCCTGCTGATAGTGGGACACCCCACCGAGGGCCGAGTGCTGGGCTTGAAACTGGCCCACGTGCCCCTCGCTCCCATACTGATTGCCAAAGCTGCTCCCCTGGGGCGGTCCGTAGCTCTGCACGGGCCCCGAAGGCCTTCGCTGCGGCGGCTGCGGGGTTCCTGCTGTCACGGGGTCTTTGCTGCCTGCCATGTAGTAGAAGTCTCCAGCCTCTTTCCTGAAGCCCTGGTAGCCCTGGTGGCCAGAGGTTTCGCTAGCCATCGCTGCCGCAGCCGCCGAGCCTCGTCGCCCACCGCCGCTGCTGCCGCTGCTGCTGCCGCCGCCGCTGCCTGCACCCCCAAAATTCTGGAACATCTGGGCCTGACGAGGGCTGAACTCTTCTATCCGGGATGAGCTGTGTACCTCCTGCGGGTAGCTCTGCTGGTCTCCGTGGTAACTGCTTTGCTCCCGGAAGGACTGCATACTGTTCAGCAGCACGGCAGCAGGCCAACAGCCCTCCTGGAAATGGAAGAGGAGAGAGAAAAATATCAGACACGCATCTCCTCCGCACAAAGGAAATCAAGTCTGGGCGATGGAGGGGATACAATAATTCAGATGCCCAGATGAAGGGGACCGGTTTGAATTTCCTTTAATTTCTTGTCCTGTCCATTTCTGAAAGTGCCAATAAGCAGAGAAATGGCCTCAATGGTGAGGCACAAGTCTATGGGAGTATGAAAAGAAACATTCTGAGTAAATACAAATTTGGTACAGAAAAAAAAAAAAAGCACCCCACCTCATTATTAAATAAATGAGCCCCCAACATCCAACTGGGCTAAAATATGGGGCTGCACTATTACTGTTAATTTAAAAAAAAAAAAAACAAAAACAATTTTTAAGTCAATCTTCCAGTTATCCAGGGAATGTTGAAAAAAAAAAAAAAAAACACTTTCATCTATTGGCTTTCCTGTATTAGCCTGATCGCTGGACTAAGGTCTCAAATAATGACGAGGCAATCCCTCCACTGGCTGTCCCCGCCCTCCCCGACTTTGAGAAACAGAACTCGCCCAGGGAACAGAAATCAGTCTCTCATGTCCAAATGCATGTTAGTGCAGATTTCCTGTAATTACCTACTATGCACGAGGACTGGAGACCCCAGGACACTAAAGTCTTCTCACTACCTGGATTGCTCACAGCTGCAGCAATCCGCACAGACCTAGGGCTTAATCTCTTTCCTGACCCGTAACTGTGTGTAAGGCAGTCCTCCCGCCAACCATCTATCCTTAACTCCCAGGGACAAAGGACTAAGCAGCATAAGCTAACGAAGCAGTGACCATTCTTCCAGATTTTTCTGGAGGGTGCAAGAAGTTCCAGCACCTCTAACGCCCACATCGTGTTTTATCTGCCAACCTAGTATTCACAGAGTTATTATTGGCCATTACTGTGAAAGACGGAATTGTAACGGTCGCTTTGGAGGATAGTACGAGATACGGAGTTAAAGAAAAATTCATCAAGCTAGGACCTAGACGCTTCCCAAAGCCATCTGATTGGGTCAACACTTTGCATTACCTTTGCTAATGTAATTAGCATATAATGTACCACTCCTCTTAGAAAACTAATCAAGAGATAATTTTATTTTGCCTTTAGCCTGGGCCTATCTCCTTCTCAGAGTCAGCTGAGTAGAACATGGCCAAACTGCTATAAAAGTCTTTAAAATCAATTATTTAAAAAAGAAGTGGCGAGAAGTGCCTATGTGGTTCAGTCAGTTAAGTGCTTGACTCTTCGCTTTGGTTCAGGTCATCATCTCAGGGCTGTGAGGAGCCCCACGTCGGGCTCCAGGCTGGGTATGGAGCCTGCTTAAGAGTCTCTCTCCCCCTCTCCCTCTGCCTCCCCCACCCCCCACCAAAAAAAAGGTGTGAAATACCTATGGGTTAGGGTAAGTTAGGACAGAGTTTTACTACAATGGCTTACTGAGCTAGCGTAAACTTGCTGGCAGGAAAGTCAGTGACCCTTTGAAAAGGTAAGATGAATTCCTTATCTCCAACCCCACTGGGGGCTCCCCCTCTCATTCAAGTGAAGCTGCTTTCAGGTGCCCTGTCTCCAGCCCATTACCTCTCTGACCTCCTGCCTTGCCACGCTCTGCTCTAGTCCTGCTGCGTCCTGCTCCCGGGAGCGCCAGGGGCATTTCTACAGGACTCCTGCTCCAGCCCGCGACGTGCTTCCTGGCAGCAGCACGGCTTGCCCCCTTCCTTCTCTCGTCGCTGGGCAAATGTCAACGGACTGGGAAGGGCTCCCCTGGCCACCCTATCCACAACAGCTCCCCCCACACGGCTCTCCCCATCTCCCTCCCCAGCACTGGGCCCGACGGACACAGATGGGCTACTTGCGTTCTATCCGTCTCCCCACCCCCACTAGAATGTCAGCTTCCTGAAGGCCGGAGACCTAGTGCCTTGCTGTAACCCTCATGTCACCAGAATGGCGAAGAGCGCACGGCAGGCATTCGGTGAACCCACAAATGGCACAAGAACTGGGCTTGAGAGAACTAGGCTAGAACGTACCTACTCAGAGGTGGTGGTGTGGTGGGGAGATGAGAGAGCTGCGCAAGAGAAAATAGAACATGATCGATCTAAAAGCAGAGCTGGAGGATGCTAACGCCCTGCCTGAAAAATCCTCCAGGCCCAGTTCCAAGGGAAAAAGCCCAACTCGAATCTACAGGAGAGCCCTAAAGAGGCTTTAGAGAGGAAACGTGGGTCATGGCCGAAGACAGTCCGTTAACTCCTAACTCAGAGCGCTGCCCCACTTCGTCCTGAAATACCTTCAGTCTAAAAGAGCTAGACCAGAGTCTACTACTTTGATATTAAGTTTGATTACATAATCACATGACCCCAAATCATCTTTCAACATTCCAGTACAAATAATCTCAGGAGCTAAAGGAAACCGCTTCTCATGTCCTCAGAATGGCTCCGCGACAGACCTGACTGCTCTTCTCCGTGCCCCAGTGACTGTGCGGGGCAAAGACGGCGGCTCACGGACAACCTGCCCGGTACGGCAGCCGCCCTTCACACACGCCGTCACTGGCCCTCAGAGCACGGACGTCCTCGCTTTACAGATGATGAGACCAAAGCACAGAGCTCGCCAGGCTGTTGAGCAGCAGGCCCCTCGGATCCTGTTCCCAATGCTACACTACCCGGAGGATCCGGGATGCGGTGGGCACCAGAGGCCACCGGGCCCATCAGAGGTCGGCCTTGAAAGTGGGCAGCCACCAACAGTGCTTCTCGGCGTGTCCCTTCTCTGCTCCCCCTTCACCAGGACCTTCCCCACTATTCCCAGCACTGCCAGAAACAGTGTGTCCGCACAGGTGTGTCCCCTGTTTGTGGTGTGTCTCTGTTCTGGCTCTCGGGGCCGGTGGCCTCCTCTGCATGATGGAAAGCGATTGAGATGGGTTATGGGGGACAAAAAGACTAAATCTGGAAGTTTTAGTGAAACTAAAAGCTTTCTCAAGAGATAACCTCTCCACAAATAAATATTTTACATGTTGTTTAATTAAAGCCTTCTGTAAATAAAATCAGGCTACTGAAAATCTGTGTGTATAAACAACGTCACTTGCTCCAAATTTTTCCTTAGCAGGAGCTTCTAAGAGCTGAAGAGCAGTTTTCCACCAGCCAGTCCCACCGCATGCCACCTGGTCCCTGGGAAACCTGAGCGGCACAGGGGAGACATTTGGGTACTATTTCTCAGAAGCCTGTGCTCAGCCCTTCTCTGGAGGTTCCCTGTCCTGCCGGATGCCCTTCTCCCTCTTATAGTTCTGGTTTATAGACCCGACGAAAAAGAAGAAATTCCCAGCCAAGTACCTCCCACAAGGTACAGGTCACGCTAAATATTCATAGTATATAGGAAGGATCCGGTCTCAAGAAAGTGAACGCAAGTTCATCTGTTTGAGAAGTTCCACGTAAAGCAATCAGGAAAACCAAGTATACCAGTAACGGAAAATGTCAGCCCAGAGTATCTGTAATTTTAGTATTAGCATTATAAAATAAGCTACTAACAGAGATCATTCCAGTATACTAGCCTATCATTTTAAAAAAGTAAATATAGTTTTGAAGCATCGTGATTAATAATGACGAGCGCCTGAATTTCCTTGTTTGAAAGAATACAGACGTGGCTGAAGAAAGTTTGACACTCCAAAGGAAGTCAGTCACCCATGAGGAATTTGTGTGCGCACTCTGAAGGGAGCTTTCCCAATGCACCTCCCTCCCCAACTCTCCCTTTCCCTGACTTCTCCTTTTTCGATTTTCTTCTGTTTTCCTAGATTTCCGAATGGTTTCAGAGGGCTGTGGAGTTGACTAGCAAGGTCCCAAACTTACTGCCTTTATGTTCACAGCCTGGGTCCACACACCGACCTCGCGGCAACCACAGCGTCTGCCCGTGGCCTGCTCTCCACCCCATCACAGGGCCCACGACCACGCCACCTTACAGAAGACAAGAGCGGCTCCCGTTGTCCTCCTTCCTTCACCTGCCCAACACCATCCCACTCCCCAGTCCACTCTTCTCTACAAGTTCTACAAACTGTCCTCAACACAGGTTCCCCTCCACGATCTTTTCAAGCACCTGTCTCCTCTTTCAGTTCAGGCTTAACCACTGTTTTTCTGCTGCTTCTCCTTCCCCTCCTTGAAAAAATGCTTCACCTCCCAAGATAAAAACATACTCTATGCTTCTAGTTACGGCCTCTGCCTGGTGGATTATTCTGTTTGCCCTCCAGCCTCCCTCCTCACCCATCTCCGCTCTGCTCTATGTCCCGGGAGGGGCCACAGTAAGGACCCTAAGAGGCTCCAGTGCCCCTGGCTTCTGTCCCAGCCTGGTTGGGAAGAGTGGGGGGCGGGGGAGAGGCAGGAAGAGAGTTGGGGGTGGGCGGCGGTTTGTGCTGTCTGAGCTCCAACCCTGCAGTTGCTGCGGCTGGCCTGGCCGAGATGGTCCACCAATGGCCACGCCCCCTTTGGGCAAATCTAACAGCCACTTGCACCAGGAATTTCTCCCCGTTCCTAGGAACTGCTTCCTCCTCTTGCCTTTCAGGCAGGAGGTAGTAACAACTGCTGCCACTGACCCAAGAGGCCCTGCCTTCCCCACTGGGGCCTCCACCCCTGCTCACCTCTTTGTGAAAAGTCGCAATTCTGAACCCAATTCTGAACCGCTGTCAACGTGGCGTCCTGACGACCCTCCTTCTAAGCCCCCCTCCGCAGATCAGAAGCTGGGAGCTACTTCCCATAAACTTCTTTCCCGCACAGATGCAGAGAGCACAAGAGAGATTTGAACAACAGAAGAAAAAGGAGAGACTGGTAGCCCCAGAGGGAGCTGCACCAGCAGACGCAGATGCTTGGCGGCTTCCCCACAAGCTCCTGAGAACCACTCACTGTGGTCCCGAAGCCTGCGCTGGTCAGGCACAGCTTCCCTGACCTTCTCAACCCCCTGTTCTTCTGACAGTGGGATAAACCCTTAATTCTCTATCAAAACTCTTCATACCTGGA